GCAGAGGGACGAAGGGCCTGGGCTCGCTGAAATAAAAGCATGGTCCTTCAGGTGGTCGCCTGCCCTCAGGGCTGGGCTGCATGATAGCCGCATGCATCTCGGCTGAAGGGCAGCCGAGGGGCTGAACCAAAGGGGCTACAGTCACACCCTGGGGTTGCCCTGACAGTAGCCACGAGCCCGGGCTTCCTCCTCCCTGCTACGGTGGCCAAGGTCAGGGCTGCAGGCGCTGGGACACTTACAGAAGCAGGATCCTTCATTTTATTTCAAGAAGGCCTTCTTTACAGCCATCAGATGAAGGCCAGGAAGCTGGGCTCTCTGTCACTGCCCACCCCCTCGCTCCCGGTCTGCCCAGCCAGAGATAGGGTCAAGCAAGAGGCAAGAAGGGGATAGATGCCTTCATAAACAGACTCAGCCACCAAATGTGCCAAGAGCAAAGAGATGGGCGTTGCAGATCCATTCAGCTGGACTCAAGCTCTGGCTCCTTTCTAGCAGTCACCCCACCTCAGGGTTTATTTTCTAATAGCAAAAGGACTATCCTACGAGTACCCTTCTCTGGCCACAGCAGGGCTAGCAAACTTTTATCTCTGTCTTTCTGCTAGTGCTGCCCCATGCAACAGGTGATCTTACTCATCTATCCCTCCAGCTCCCAGACCTCCAGCATCCCCTCTCCCAGGCCACCAGCATCAGTAACACCAGATTTCTTCCACTCAGGTAGAATAATATCACACAGGGGAGGGCAAGCCAGAGAGAGCAGCAAGGGCCTATTGCCAGACAGTCAGGCGTGACGGATCCCCGTGGCCAAGAGTGAAGGGAGGCAAAGAGAGAGGTTACTCCGTGAGTGGTAGCACTAAGCTGCTGCCCAGCTGGGTTCACAGAAGGTCACTTCTACACCTTCCCCTTCCCTGCTCAAGTTCTCTGCTGTCTGCAGCCTCGCTTCATCGGATGATGGGTGCCGAGCGGTCATTGGTGACTGTGGGGCGCAGCTTGACTGTGGCAAATGGGTTGGTGCCTCTGAAAGGGGAAAGGAAATAGGCAACCATCAGAAAATCTGGAAAGACCATGCGGGGGTCCTACTAACCAAGCAAAGGCTATTTAGTCCTGCCAGCCTGCCACCTCCATGCCAAGGAGGTGAGGTAAAGCTAGTTACTGAGTGTGTTTCTTCATCATTAACACGCCCTGATGCAAGTTCCAGGGTTGTTCCTTGGGCTCTCCTCAGGGCTCCTTGCCCTTCCTCTGGGGTGGCCATATCATGAAGAAGGGACAACAGCATAAGGCTGTCCCTTGCCAGTAGCATTCTCTACACTTCTGGCCCCTGATCCTCCAAGCGAGGAGTCAGGGAGCAGAAAGAGGCAACAGTACCATTTTAGAAACATATGGAGACACCAACCCGGCTGCAGGGGGGAAAGGAAAGCAGAAGTTTATGACAAGTCTCATATCCACAGACCTGACACATCAAGGCTAAAAGCCTCAGGTCCTCCTCAGCTCTTTCCAAGCAAGCAGAGCTGCATAAGTCAATTTGGTCTATGCTCAGGCTGTGAGCTGCTATTCTGGCTCTTCCAGAATGGACGGGAAGGATCATGCAGGTCTGTCCATCTCAGGATTTTCCTACCTCTTAGTACTAGAGGTGGGAGAATGCCTTATCAGCCAGCAGTGGCTAGAACTACCCACTTTTCCCTCTGTCCTGGAGGACGAGAGCTGGCTTTCCTCCAAAGACTTCCCTGCTCCTCCTACATTTGTTAACCCAACAGATTAAATAGTAATAGTACTAATGCCACCCTATCTGCTGATCCCAGAGCTCAACTCCATGCCTGACTTACCGTGGGAAGAGTTCAGGGGGCTGGTCCCACACTCCTGATTTCTGCAGTGAAAAGAAAGGCAACAGTGAGCAATCTGGGGCGGGGAAGAGAATGGAGAGACAAAAATTGGGGAGGAGACACAGCAAACATGGAGGAAGATTTCACAAAACACCTAAGTGACTTAGGAGCCCAAGTCCTGTTAGCAGGGCTCTGACTCCTTATTCACTCACATTTTGCATAAGCCCACAATTCGCAGCCGTAGATAACAAATACCTTGAGTTCTGTGGTGGGGGATGGTCCCTACACCACAGCTTCCCATAGGACACCCCCCCTCTGTCTTGGGGAAGAAGGATGATGCTCCAGATCACCAAAGTGTCATGTCTGAAGAGCACAGCAAACAAAGGCAGTCTGATCTACATTTCACCCTGCCAGCATAGCCAGAGATGCCCCCCTCACACTGCACGCACACTCTGATAACGAGTTTATCTTCAGTGCCCTCACAGGCTTCCTGCATCCACAGAGATGTAAGAACTGTAGTGGTACACTGCGCAAACACCCTACTCTACACCACACGTTGCTCAAACGTGGCCCATCCTGATGGAGAAAGACAGAGCTGAGCCCTGTGGCCCTTATCCTTGGCCAGTATGCAGTGAGGGATCACTGACAATTGTGGTGGCCTGTTAAAGCATACCAGTTTCTGTGGAGTGGCAGCCTTGTGTGCTGCCAGCTATTTGTGGCTACCTTTGTTCCATCTGGGAAGTCAAACACAGACCTATTTGCTCCTGGCTCAACTGCAGGATGTTTTGGGCAGAAGTACAGAGCAAGGCTCAGACTTTCCAAACCTCTAAATTGCTCTGCCACTGTATTTTGCAGGCGCCACACACCTCATTGCTCAACCCCAGGTCTATCCTTACACCCTAGTCCTGGGGCCAGACAGCAATCAGTGACCCAGAGGGCCTCCATGTTGTACAGCCCAAGGCCTCCTGAAGCCACAGTGCAAGACATCAAGGGAAATAAGAGAATAATTAAATGTTGCATTTCTTACTCCTTTGACACATTCAGTTGCTTCCAACCTCGCACTGACTTGGAAACAAGGACCAGGGATGGAGGGTTCCCAGCCTTCTACGAGACTGAGCAAGTAACAACCTGTGGGCAGCACCATCTTTGCTTTCCCTCACGTCCTCAGCTTTAACCAGTAAATTCTCTATGGCTGGGAGCAGTGATAGATGGAGGGTTTCCTACCCAATATGTCATCAGTAAGTCATGGATGGGAGACTCCCTGTTCCAAGACTCTCCAGTATGGCTGTACTCTTAGTCTTTGCCCCTAGCTCTTTCTCTATCCCACCTGTGACCTCAAAACAGCTTTGATAATAATTCCTCCTCTCTTAGAGGTTCACCTACTGGCATAGCTCAGAGTCAGTCCTTCCCATCCTTGGTTGCCCTCACCCAACCTAACCCTTGTTTAAACCTGGAAGAGGTGCCCTTCAAGGCCTCTCTCCATTCTCTGAGGGGAGAAGGATGGCATCTCTGTTAGCTGGTCACCCTCCCCCAGTCCAGCCTGATCACTCCATGGTCCTACTATTAGCAGAAAGTGCTGCTGCCTCGGAGCCACCAGAAATCAGGCTGGGAGGTCATGGAGAAAAGGAGTGAACTGAAGGGCCCCTGGTGAGCAAAAAGAGAGAGAAATAAGAGGGGCACAGCCACAAAAGCAGTCCTCAGGGGAGGATAGCTGGGCACTGAGGATCTGCCAACATAACGCTGATTGTCAGGAGCCACCAGAACAAGGCATGGGCACAGATTGGGTGAGAGAGGCCAGCGAGAGCAGCGCTAACAGAACCCCTTGCCTCAAGAAGGGAGGAGGGTACACAGCAACATTTAGAAGACATTCTTCTTTCTCAATAGGCCTGTACAGAAGAAGAAGAGGTGTACATTGGAGGATGAAAGCCAGCACTGATGGAAAGATGCGTCTGCCTCCATACACACTGGTCACCCTTCCCACACTCACCTTCGAGTCTGAACCAACTGGGGTTGCCACCCTGCTCTGGTGACTGCTGCTACCCACTGAGGTGGGAGGTGGGCTCGGCAAATGGGCCTGGGCAGTGGCAGGCCAGTAATTTCCAGAGGAAGGAGTGCTGGGATGGTCTAGGATGTCATCCATACTGTGACTGCTTCGGAGTGGGAAGGACCTGTACAAGAAGAGAAGACAGCAGGGTGAGAGTTAAAGCAGAGCAAGAAATGAGGGTCAGCACAGGTGCTAACCACAGCTTGTCTCCATGGGACCTCTGAAGAAAATACACACGGCTTAGACTGACCCAGCTGCAAAAACCTTTGAGAGGATAATGCCCACATTGGTGAAGTCATTTAGGGTGAGCCTGTGAGATCTCTAGGCCATGGCCTGCAAGGCCATCAGCAAACGCTCCAGCATGGAGCTTGGAGCTCTCCACCAGGCACACCCTACAGAGGCACCCCACTGATATGACAGACTGACAAGGAGGCATTTCAGTTCCTGCCTGGACAATTGCTCTCCTATTACCTGGTGGCTGGCTCCTCTGAGTCCCTCACATCTTCCAGAGGCTTGACATAAGCTTCGGGGAACCAGCCACATCTAGGCCATAGAAACAGAGAAGATAATGAGCTCCAGGCAACCACAGTTTGTGGTTCTTCAGATCCAGCTGCACAGCAGAACTGATCTATATCCATCCCACACATCAACTGAGCTGCTGCTGCAGCTACAACATGTGATAGCGTTTCAGCGCAGATTTCACCCCTAGATAGGGCACAGGGAAATTGCAAAACAGTCCTTGAGAAGCCATCAAGACCTTTGTCCTGTGTCTCATCTAGCAGGTGGCATTTCCTTCAACACTTGGAACCCCAATAACTAAATACAGAGATATTTGCTTACCAAGGCAGATAAGGAAAATGCCCTGCTGACTGACACCCTGGCCTTCCTCTAGCCTCCTTTGAGGTGTTTCCACCCGTGCTTGGAGCAGGTCTTGCTTATCTCAAGGGTTGGGCAAGATCACTGTTTCTGCAAGCAACATTAGCAGAGTCTAGGGAGAAACATTCTGACTGTAAGCAATTACAAGGGATCCAAGCCCAGAACACAAGGAAGATTGGGAAAATCCCCTTCTGCAGAGGGCAAGGCAGCTTCACCCCAGAAACACAAGCTGTTCTTGCTCATCTTGCGTCCAAGTGTGAACTTCACTGCAGAGCATGACGCACAGATCCCATGTGAAATAGCAGGATTGGCAAAGAGGTGCAGGCCAGCAGTGCAACTGTGGAGTAATTCAGTAAGTGCTAGGTGCACCAGTTTCCATACACTGTGCTGGAGGGTGCAGCAGCAGCTGCCATGTGAACTGAGAAACAGCAGGCCTCTCAGGTAACTCCAATAGGACACAGCCTTGAGCTGGGTCCCATGGCAGGAGTCACTCAGTCATGCAAGACTTGAAGGGGGTCATTGGGTCCCTGGCTCTTCTACCTAGCCTTCATAGGGGCTGCTCAGGCAGCACATCCTGCACTCACCCTGCCCCACCACCTCTCCTCAGCTCAGAGAGCCCCCATGCTAGGTACAACCACCTCAAGCTAGTCATGGCACAGCAGAGATGCTGAGTGTGACGCACCAACACAGGCCTTGCTGGGAGGGGAGAAAGGAGACCATTTCATGTTTCAGTCTCCAGGCTCTGGACCTGACAAGTCTGAATCAGCCTGCTGCACCAACATACAGCACAGAAGTCACCTACGTGGATGAGCCCTCCAGCTTGCCATACAGCCAGCCATTCTGCGCTTCTGGGATCAGCACCATGATGACATCCCCAAGGTCAAACTGTAGCAGGGTCCGGTTGGTTCCCGTTGCATGAGGCACGATAGCCCGTACTCTCACCATGGTGCTTCTCCTACCTTCACTGCTGCTGCCTTCACCAAAGGAACCAGAACGGGAAGTACGGCCAGTAGGCAGGAAACCTGCAGGGAAGCATCAGAAGGGTCTGGCTGAAGTCCAGCATCCTCCTGCAAGACTCACGCTGCCTGGAAGGGACCAGCACTTCCCTAATCTAGTAATTAATCTACAGGGTATTCTATAGGTCTTCTCTTGGGGGAGAGAGCAGCGCACAGCATAGGACAGGGTTAAACATTCATCTTGCAGAAGAAAATCAACTAATGCTGAAACCACTTGCTTTGCATTATGTCCTCTTTAGCCAAACATCCAGGGCACAGGCACTGCCTGCTACAGTGACTGGCTGATGGCCTGCTTCCTGGCCCTGCTAGAGCAGCTAGGTCATGTTTTCTTATTCATGATAAGACATGAGGTAACTGGATGGGTTTTGTAGGGCAGAATAACATTTAATCTAGCAGCACTGGGGTGATGCACACTGCCAAAAGGAAACTCCACTGAGAACCAACCATCCTCATCCAGGGAGCCTTGAAGACTGCACATCTGTGGGTTCTCCACCTCTCACACACCCCGCCAGGGAACCCAGCCTTATCCTGGATGGACTCTGCTCTGAAAGGTTAAGCTCAGCACCCCCTACTTTGGTCAGCCTCTCAGTAGTCTGATGGAGAGTTGTGATATCTCCCAAACCCAACCCAGGCTGTTCCCAGAGAGGCCCAAGCACTGTTTCCCCCCAGTGCTGCTCCTGAAAAATACCAGCCGACGGTGTCCTTTGCAGGGGCTGCCTGGGGGGCTCTGGTTGAGGAGACAGTCTCATTTCTGGAGGCTCCTGAGAGAAGACACTGGACCTACTCCCAGCCGTGGGAGAAACAAAATCCTCAAGGGGTCTCTGGGGCTGTTGGAAGGAGAGAAGGTCAAATGCAAACTCCACAGAGGATGTGTCATGTGGGAGATGCTCTGAGATACCTAGTCCTTCTCAGAAAACAAAACCCAGCACATTCCACCATTGCAGCCCATATATACACTTCCCTTACTCTTATCCAGGAAAGGCCACAAGCACCAAGTACCCACTGTCCCAAGGACTGGGCCTGGCTTCTGCCCTGCAGGTAGGAAGGGGGAGCTCCAGCCTCACCACCCCTAAGGTGGGGGCTGTCTGCATGCTCCTCACCATCTCGAGGTGGGTGGGTGTGAGTCGGCCAGATGAATAGCCCTGGCCATGGGAGGCAGTGAGGAGGCCCTGAGCATGGCTGCTCGAGGGGTTGCGGCTGGCCTCCAGCTGCTCTTTCCACCGCGGCGCCTTGCTCTGGATCATGCCCCGGGCCTAGGGAGAGAAAGGGAAAAAAAAGGCAGTGATTGAAATGGGAGTTTTCTGCCCAGTCCATGCTCAGACACTGCCTTCACTCACAGGGCTGCCCAGCCCTGGGGCCCTCCTGCCTGCATGCCCCCTCTGGCCCCTCACACGCCAGGGCCATACCCTGCTGTAGAACTGGAGGAGGGTGTTGGAGAGCAGCTGGTGCTTTTCAGCCAGGAAGCGGTATCGGCGTTTCTCCTCCAACTCAGCGGCTCTCTGGCTCTCAGAGATGAACGCCTGCATCTCTGAGCGCAATCGCATCACGTTCTCCTGGGCCATGGGGGAAAGAGAGAGGGAGGGGTCAGCATAAATCCAGCAGAGTGAGCTCACCTAGGCACGTGTGAGGGGAAGGACTGAAAAGAGTGATCACATCTACCACCTTCCCAGTCTACTTGCAGTGCTGGAGAAGCACAGAGGGGCCAGTGCAGAGTCTCAGGGCCCAGGCCCTTGCACATTTAAGTTTGCTGAATGAGGTAAAGGCTTGGCAGATTCTGCACAAATGAGTTCCACAGGTCAGCAGCATGCTGCAGAAAAGGCGTGACCTCCTTTCCAGATAAACCCTCTGAATTTTGAACTTCAGGACACAATCCGTTGGCTTCCAAAGGAAGGACGAGGCTGCTTAGAAATCAGCCCTAACTCCAGAGGAATTATCAGATTGATTTTCCACTCCCCTTCCTGCAGTCACCTTCACCTGCTCACCTTCATCTCCCGTGCGTTTTTATCACGGGCCCTCTCCATTCTCCACAGCTCTGCCATGCACTTATCCAGGTTGGTGGCTCTGCGCCGGTAGTCCAGCTCATACTGCTTTTGGCTCTCCTGCCAGGGAGAAACCAGGCACAGTGAGGAACCAGAGCCCCAGGCACGCTGTGATACAGCATGGGCCCACTCTGATGGGTGATGGAGCATTTGGTGCCCCTCCAAAAGCAGACATGACCTGCACCTCTTGAAAGTGTCCAGCCCCCTTCCTTTCTTTTCCTTCCTTTTTATTTTGAAGGGCCTTACAGTGCCGATGAGCCTCAAGACGAAGGAGCAAGAACTGGCTCCCAGCTCCTGCCACACTGGGAGCAAGTCCCCAGGCCTCTCTCTCTGTCCCTGATACTACATGCCAGCATCGCCAGCCTGGCCAGCCTGGCCACAGTGGCACAGGCCAACATACAGGACCCAAATGCATGGGCAAGTCCCGCTGGACAAGTCCCACTGCACGAAGAACAGTCGTCTGCCCTCTTTAGCCCTCCATCCTCAGCTAGACAAGTGGTGTTTGGCCCATGAGAGGAGATGGGGAGAAGCCCCCTTAACTCCTGCCCTAAAAAGTTGGGGAAACACCTCAGGCGCTCAAGTGAGAGCCGTTGCGCTGAGGGGAGAGGGAATTGAGCAGGGTTGGGGAGGGGAGGGCAGGGGAGGAGAGTTCACCACTCACACTAATGAACTGCACATCCATTTTGGTGTTCTTCTCCATGTGCTGCAGCAAGTCCACATGGAAGGTCTGAGCCTGGAAGAGGCAAAGGAGCCGTCATGCTTATCCCTTTGCGTATGGAGTCTTGCATGCACTGCAGTGTGGGATGGCTCCGCAAATCCAACAGAGCCAGTGACTCTCTCGGCTCCCATGTAGAGGCCATACATGTGCATCTCCTGCCATTATGGCTCCAGTGGAGCAGCCCTGCAGCCTGAGGTTGCACGGCCTGCCACGCAATGCCATTTCAGGTACCCACCAGACCACTAATCCCCAAGTTTCAACGCAAGGAGCAAACAGCAGCTGTCAGGAAAGGTTAGCATGCCCTCCTCTCCTGTCCCACCAGTGCCACCAAAGGAAAGAGCAGACAGCCATGCTTCATCCTCAGAGCCAGGCATTGCTCTGTCTGCTGCGCATCCACCACCTCTTGCCCGTGGAGAGTGGTGACAGTCCCTAGACAGTCCCAAAATTGAACAGCCAGGCTCTGGGCATGCCACCTCCATAGCACATCTCTGTCATGCACATCAGGGATGGTGAGGAGGCAGGCACCTGCCAGCAGACACATGAGAGGGCAGGAGACAGGGCAAGCTGGGCAAACATTGGCAACCTGTGGGACAGAACATCCTTTTCTTCCGCACCTGCATCAGCCCCCAGGAAAGACACTCACCACAACTTCCAAATCAGAGTTCAGGAGTCTCTGCGTGTTGGACATTTGCATCAGAATTTCACCTTCAGGGAAAGAGAGGAAAGGATAAAAAAATCCCACAGCCACTTCCTTGTGCTCCCACAGAAGAAGAGCAAAATGGCCGTTACGGAGCCCTATCAGCAGCATGAGATTCAGCAGATTGATATACGGGTGTGAAAGTCCAATAGATAGCGCAGTGCACTGCTCTCTGCACCCTAAGAGAGGCTTGTAGTCATCCTTCCTGGGGCTCGGCTCTGGCACTGGTCTCCAGGCTTGGGGTTACTGCCAACACGGGAATACCACAGCCCAAGGAGCTCCCAGACCAGTGCTGTGCTGCAGGACAAGGTGCCAACAGGCAAACCATGATCTGCCGTGGGCTCTGGACACCTTGGGCATGCTGCGCTGTGTTTCTCCTCTGCCACAGCCTCCATGGACCCACTTTCTGCCCCCACTGGTACCTCAGATGCAATGCACAGTTCTCGCCACACTACAGAGAGTGGGTGCAGCACCACACCTGCCTGTGCTTCCCCTCATTGCTGATGCTGGGCTTGGCCCCGATTCACCAGTGCTAGTATTTGAAACTGTGAAAGGAAGAGACTGATGACAGGAAAGAGAGGAACAACATGGAGTGTGTAGATGATGTAGGAGATTACAGAGGGAACACATCTTGCTGGAAGCTTTTTACTAAAATGCTTAGCAGTAAACAGTTCCCCAAACATTTTTTTAGCAGCCATCATTAGGCTTCAGAATGAGATGGCACCACTGAATGTAAGTGCCTCAAATGTGAGTTGCCAATTCAGCTGGCTACAGGCTCAGGAAGACAGTACTCTATCAGCTATTGCCAGTCCATGCTCTCAAGATTTTCCCTCACAGGTGCAAGGAGGAGGAAAATGGTTCCTCTGAGATGAAAACTTCAGCTCTCAGGGCAGGCTGCTTTGGCAAAGCCTGGTTTCTGCAGCAGGTCCGTCACTGAGGTCCTTTCCCAGGAGCTGGGCCCAGTCATTGATCTTATGGGGGGAGTGCTGGGCTTCAGGGGGCTTTTCAAAGCCACACAATAAACCTGACTCTCACTGCGCGGACAGGGCCTGGCACTGCGGGCCACCATTTAGAGGAGCTGCCTTCCTCCCCCACCACACACCTAGAAAGGGAGAAGCTAAGGGGCAATGCCAAAGAATTTAACTGTGGCCCATTACACTGCAGAGGATGGCGGGAAAGCCTTACCCAGCACGTGCGAGGTGGAGCTCTGCAGCGCTTGCTCCCCGATCTTCTCAATTGCCTTAAAATAGACTTCAGCTGCTTCAGATAACACTGCAAGGAGAGGAGCAGGGAGGTAAGGATATGGCCTGCCTCCCAGCATCACCAGCCCCAACAAGCAGTGCACAGGGGCCACCCCATCTCTCCCCCTCTGCACCAAACAACAGTTAATAGGTCCTGGAGCAGGAGAAAAGTGCATCAGAGCAGTTCAGGATATGCTGCAAGGGGAGACTGCTGGCCTTGCCCCAGGTGACAGTGGTCCCTCCTGATACATAGGACATGCCCAGAAGAGACACAGCAGCATGGTCTGGGGCCTGGGCCACGCAGGATGACACTCACCGTGGAAGGCACGCAGGTAATTGTTCCCCAGGTATACCAGGTTTTCCAGCGCAGGATTGAACTGGTCCAGGATATTCTGGCCAAGCAGAAGCAAGTTAATATCAGTCTTCCCCATGTTCCAGAGACCTCAGCAGGCTGATGCCCTCCTGCTGTCGTTCCGCTGGGTCCAGCAGGAACCCAGGGAGCTTCCCCAGCCACGACGATGGATGGCCACATGCAAATTCAACCACTGTGCTGGAAATAGCTGAGACCTTTGGCTGCCCCAAGTCCTCTCCAGCCAGCCAGAAGCAAAGCAATGCCAGAGGGCAAGGTAACCTGCTGGAGAGCCAAATCATCTCCTCAAGATGCCTTTCTTCCAAGGCCCACTCCATCTCCCCACACTCACTGCAGATGGGGGTTAACTGCAAGGGAACCTGGGAGAGCAACTGTCCCCCCCGGACCTGCATGGACACTTGTTATCCAGAGATGAAAGTGCCTTCTTCCTGGCCAGGGTTTGCTGAACCACCGGATTCATGAGCTTGATAACATAAGTAATGCACTGTTTTAAATCAGCCTCTCAGCTTTTATCTGCCGTTATTTATCAAAGGTGTTTATTGCCTACAGCAGAGCAGCTATTTGCTGCACGAAACAGAGATTAGAGGCTGAAATAAGGAATTCCCCCTTCTCCCAGCCCTCACCACCTTGCTGGAGCACAAATGTGCACAGGGGAGCATCAGTGAGATCCAACCGCTCCTTCCAGCACAGGAGAAAACAGCCAACTTCATTGCCTGTGCTAAGCAGGAGTTAAGGCATATTACCCTTTCAAAACATGCTCCATGTCCAAACCACTCAGGTTGCCCAGCTCCTTCCTGGATCTGCCCTAAGACCTACACCACACTCCCCTCCTGCCAGCCATCTGCTCTCAAATGCAACCCACAGCCCACAGGAGTTGCTCCAGTTCTGCCCAGGGAGGCAACCAGCCCTCAGTCATGCAGCCATAGGAGCCTTCTGCAGAAAACGGCTCTCCTCCTCCCAACTGCGTGTCTCCCCGTGGCAGCCAGGAGCAGCTTTTGGTGCCAGAACTCACCTTATAGATGGAGATGGTGGATCTGTAAGACAGCTCCATCTCCTGAGCCTTTTTCCTCTCCTGTACAGAGGTGGTGGTGGGGAGGGAGGGGGTAGAGTGAAGGAGAGCACGAGGTGTTATACCAGCACAGAGGACCCTGCTTCCACAGTGCCGGCTGGATGGAAAGAGTCCGTCACTGGCAAGGCAGGACGGCAGGAAGACACATACGTGATATAAAGGGAACAGAGCACTGCTGGAGTTTAATAATTCACCAGCCAGGAGGTTGGAACTTGATCTCTGGCTGTAACTAGACTCTATGGAGAGAGGAATCCTGCAACAGCCAGCAAGGGCATGTGACCACTTCCTTTAATTATTGATTGCTGGTTCAGTACCCAGCTCCCCCTCGTCCCGACACCTGTGGAGCCAGCCACCTGCCAGAATAACCTCCTTACAGCTTGCTGCCTCCAGCACTCCCACCGCTAGGGGACAGCTTGCTCAGCTTTGCTCTGCTAGTGGAGCATCTTCAGGTCCCTCACGCCACAGGTATCGCCAGTCAGAAGATGCCTGTCAGCCAGTAATCGCAGACAGTAATGGGGGACAGGGAAGGTAAAGCACAAAATAGGTTTAACTCCTTCCCTGTGCACTATTTTCCCCGACCCCAGGTCTCAACCCTCCTCCCTCCCACTCCTGGTGTCACTGAGGCTCGTCAGTCTGAGGCACAAGCCCGAGCCTGAAAAGTCCTGCTCTCCCTGCCTGCCAGGATGCCGAGCACGGCATCACTCTGGGAAGCCCTTGCAGGATAGTGCAGGCCTACAAAGAGAAAGGGAGAGTGCGAGCCACAGGCAAAGAGCAGAAGGGAACATTTGTTCTCAACATCCTGAGGTGTGGGGTTTTGTACTCAATAATCCAGCCAAGACGCCTTCCTCAGGAAGGTGAGACCCTCCATCATCTGAGGAAAATAAAACCTTTGCTCCATGTTAATAACCACTTTAGTCCACAATCTCATTTGTGAAACTAATGATCAGAAGGCAGGTAATCAGTTTTTAAACCCTATTCATGGCTCGATCAGCACCCATACTCCTGTCAGCCACATCTCTAGGTATCAGTGGGCACCAGGCCAATCAGTCTTGCAGAGGTTACCTCTTTCAGTAACATTTTGGGGATAACACAAAGGTAAAGCCCAGTCATTTGTATCCCGAGGGATTTCAGTGTTTCTTCTTATGGCTGGCCAAAGTCCAGGTGGATCCTTATATCGGAGCTGGCCCAAAGCATCTCCACTGGCTGCAATTGATAAGCAAAGCTTTGCAATGCTGTATTTTGTAGGACAGCCAATGCACCCACACCACACAAACACCTCCAGGCCTGGCTTCAGGGACAGGCCATTCATCTCTCCAATCCACATAAAGGGCATAATTCCATGTCTCAAGGTCCCCAATTTCTTATTCTCTATCTGTAAGAAATGCAGAGACTGCAAGCTCAGAGTCCCTCCCTTTGGGACCTTGCAGGATGGAGAGAGACAAGACAACCATGGGCTGCGTTAGAGTGGAACTGAATCCAAACCTCTCTTTATTTCAGGTCACGTTAGTTTTGCATAGAAGCACAGTTTACAACAGTAGTCCCTCCAGTTAAAGACAAAAATATTAAGAATTCAGTTTTTTCCAGTTCATTCCTCAAAACTCCTCTAAACAGATGCATACGTCATTTATAAATACTGCAAAACATACTGCAGAAACTTTGAGTAGCGTAGAAGTCATGATGGGATTTTCAGCAGAAAAAAAAAAAAAAGTAAAAGAAATCCACCTTTTCACAGTGTCAGCTTTCTTTGGTGGGAGTTGCTCTCCGAGCATTTCAATTGCACATTAAGAATAACGACAAATAATCAACTAATTGATTATTTCCCCCAGTTAACTTAGTCTAATCTCTCTACCAAGCCAAGGATATCATCCCTCATCGTAAGCCTGTGCAAAGAGTATCACAGCAAGTTAGAGGGCACAAAACAGTCATCAGAATGCACCCCCAGCCTCATCACCTGTTGGGGTCTGCTCCCCGCCAGGCACAGTCAGAACCTGGGTTGCCAACCCATTTCTGAGGGAAAAGGGGAAGGGGCTACAGAATACAACCGATTCACAAAAGTTTCCCCCTTCTCCCAAGGCCAATTGCACTATTCTGTGTCCAGATCTACTGGAGAAGGCTGCAAAGTTCCTACACCCCTTCAGACAGGGCGTGTTGAGGGAAGAAGAATCCCTTTCCCCACACTACACACATCGAAACACTTTGGCCCAAGCAGGGAAGCTAATCCTATAAGCTTTACCTGGCATTGGCCTGTTTGGTGATGTGGGAAAGGGCATGGTGCTGTGCCCTTAGAGGTGCTGCGCCATTAGAGGCGCTGCACAAACAGAAGAGTCTCCAACTGCTAAAGCACAAGATAGGTGGGGGCTCTGGCTGCCAGGAAGGGCTGTACAGTAACGTATCAGGGCAGCAACACCGAGGGGGACTTCAAGCACAAATACCAGAGACTGGGCTACGGTACAGAGAGAACAGTCATCCACACATCAGCATTTCACAGCTGTCCTGGAATACATGTGTATGTGTGCAGTTGTCTATTAAATATCATTAATTCCTATTCATTATTATTAGTCCCTTCCCTCACCCCAGCATCTTGGGTCAAGGGCAAATCACAGCCATTTCAGTGACTGCCGCTCATTGCCATTGGGCTGCAGAACAGGCAACTCCAGGTGAGTCATCGGGCAAGAAGGTGCTGCACCAGCTGCTCAAACTGCTCCCGCTGCTGGTAGATGTAAAGCTGGGTGTCCCAGAGGGTGTTCACCAGCACCGTGTCGTTCACCTCGTCCAACATCACATCTGTATGCAGCTGAGGACTCAGCCTGCGTATACCAGAACAGCATCACCAGCTGGGCACAGACACCAACGCGACAAGGCAACCAACATGCTCAGCACGAGACTTGTGCAAACTGGCTCCTGCTCTCCCAGGCATTCACTTCCCCTTTATCCAGGGGGCTTGCAGAGCAGAGCCGTTGCCTTGCCCCTCCTTCAAGACCTGAGATGCTGCTCACGGCTGAGCCATGATTCAGCAACTGATAGCATCGAAGACAGGAGTCTCAAAGCATGCCTGCAGCCCCCTGTGAGCGATCCCGGACAAAGCATGCCCAACGCCTCAGGTCACACAGTGGGCCACAGCGCTCTCCAATATGTCAGAGGCATGAGGCGATGGGGTAGGGAGACAGGTCTGGGCAGGCAATCCTCTGGAGGGGACACAATTTGAGATGACGCATACCACAGCAAAGTCTGAAGGGAAAGGGCTAAAAAAAGCTCTATGCAAGAAGTGGGAAAGGAAGCTCTTACCGGAAATATGGGACATCTGTCATCTCACACCAGGCCCTGGCACGATCCACAGCTGGGCCATCTGCGTCAGTGCACTGCAGGAGAATAGGCCCACAGTTAGATCCCGATTGTCACGCTGCTCTCCCTCTGCCTGCAAGTGGCTCCCCTGGCACCAAATTGAACTGTACAAGCCACAGAGGGAGAGGGAGAACCAAGAGCAAGTGCCTCCTGGATGGTAAAGATGCCCTCCGTCACAGCAGAGAGTGAATTCCCCTAAAGAAACCTCTGGGAGGCACCAAATCACAACCTCCTTGATACTGTCTCTATCCATTTATGTCCCACAAGCTCAATACTAGTAGAGTCTGCAACAACTGCAGGCCATCTGGGTTATCCTGGGACAATTTCCCAGGAAGGCCTGACATAAAAGACAGAGGAGGCAGAGGGATCATCCCAGGTATTCTCTGGCTTTAGGAAGCTGAAAGAAGATAAAGCAACAGAATTAAGACTACGGCCAGAATTCTGATCTTTCTAGCTTTCATTCACTTGAATTGTTTTCATGCATAACATCTTAATGAGCTTCTTTCTGAAGCATGCGAGAACACATGCCTATTATGCTCCTAACCACAGCTCTGAACTACTGCTTTTTATTAGTGATCTTCCCACTTTTCTAGCATTTGCTAATTCTCACAATGGCAGTAACAAAACTTTCCTTAAAGCACATGATTTTGTTTTCTGACGCTTGATTTTTTTTTTTGTCCAGGTTGCTCAGATGATATTCAACACCTCCAGGAATCAGTACTCAAGAGTTTCATGAATTCCTTTTCCTAGGGGTCACTGACCACAGCCCTTCCCGCACGCGAGCTGCTGCAAGAACTGCATCCTTCCTTGGCACTTGAAACACTGAACAGGCAGGCATGGCTTCAGACCTGCTCTGCTCCAACACTTCTCAGGTCACCCACTACTACATCTGGTTCTTGAACTGGTCATGGTCAGAGCAGTTCCAGGGAAATAGTTTCCTTCCAAAAGGAAGGAGTTGAACGTGGTAAACCTTTGCTCCCTTCTCACAAGCAAGCCCAGGGCTCCTTCCCACCATCCCCTGCCTCCCAGTACTCACACAATCCACCACCATCTTGCCGAGCTCCCTGGCCCCAAAGACAGTCTTTGCCAGCTCCCAGGGGTTGGAGGGGCGGAAGACATCCACAGAGCTCACCGGGACCTGCGGAGGCTTCCCCGTCCCCAGGGAAACCACCAGTCCTAGTTTTCTTACTTTCTGCCTCTGCCCCTGTAGAGGAATGAAAGGTTTGTTTGTAAGGACCAATAATTAAGTCTTGGGGAGGCTCTGTAAGATGCAGCAAAAGGCTCAAAACCCTTTTCTCTCCCCTTCCCCCACCCTAATCTCCTCCCTTTGGCACTGCCTGGTAAGAAGGCATAATCCAGGCAGCTTCACAAGGTAACAGTTGCACCTTTCTGGCCCTTACACCTCTTGCTACATCCAACCCCATGGGATCACCCCACAGATAAATCCTGGGAGTAGATGGCCATGAAATGGTCCAATTCTTTCAGTGCTAAGGGCTCAGTATCTGTTTTGAGAAAAACCTCCCCTCCCAGCTACAGGGAGCATTTACTGCCTGTACTTAGCTATCTTTCTGACCATCTTGCCCAAATCACAGGAGGCATCCAATCTGTAGCAATGCGGAGTGCCCTAACATCTCCTTCTCCATCTATTTTGGAGCAGAAAAAGGACCCATAGAGCTGTCTCATGAGCCACAGGAACCATCAACTGAATCATCCTTGGTTAAAGTAGCACAGACAGACAAAGACTTCCCTCCCATGATTCCTGCCTCCCCCATCTCACACACCTTTCCACAAGAGGTACTTCACCTTCAAGACACCATTCCCAAAGATCCCCTTCCACACACCCCTCCAGGCTGCGGTAATGCGGTAAACATTGTTTTTTCCACTAGAGAAGCATCCATTCCCAAACTCTCTCCTCCTTCAAGGAAGGCTCAGCAGAGCCAGTAAAGCCTCAGATACCAGACAGGGCCAAGAATTTCCCTCACCTTCTTGATCAGTGTCTTGTTGTACTCATGGATCTCCGTCATGGCATCGAGGGTTGGGTTGTTCGCTAGCAGCCCACCATCCAGAAAGCGCCCTATTGGCCGGAAATAAGTGGGAGCTGCACCACTGCAGCGGGCAGCACGCCACACCAGTTGGTCTGCAGAGAGAAAGGAGCAGATGGGCCTCTTTCAGCCTCCTTCCTGTGACACTTAGGGCAAAGAGCATCCCCTCTTCACTTGCACAAGGCAAACCAGTCAGGAGGGAGATTCTTGCAGTCCCAGAAGACTCTGCCCCAGATAGTTGTGCCTCTTCCTTCTAACACTGGTCCGAGTGTTTTTTTTGTTGTTGTTTTTGTTTAAAAAGATATTCTCATCACTTCCTATGTATCCTGGGCCAAATTTACTCTCTACCTGCTTCATTGCTGCTACTAGTAAGGTGAACCAGTTATGTTTGCTAAACAAAGAAAGCAGCATGCTGCATGATTTTGAGTTATGTAGCCTCTTCATGTTACCCAGCTCCTGAGGACCCAAGAAAATGTACTGACTGTACTGAGGCCTCCTCTAGCAGACCCCATCCTCTGCGAACCTCAACAGCCTGCCCCTGTTCACGACACAAGAGAAGCCACGGGAGGAGAGAAGGGGAGAAGAGGGAATCACCCCTAGGACTAAGCTACTAAGTCAAGATCAAGGATGAGCCATTCCTGAGAGATCCTAATTTTCAGAGCAAGGGGAAGAGAAACCAGCAATCTCCTGTTTTTGAGGAAAGGACCCCAACCCAATAAGCTAACTGCAGTATGTCAGCATTTACCTTCTGGTTGAGTCAGTGGTTTGAAAGATGCAGTTGTCTTGTATTCTGTGGAGGTTTTTGTCTCTGGTACAGGGTAATTTCGGAAGAGGTGTAGCTCAGCTGGCTGCCGGTCACACAGCGTTCCTGTCACCATGACCCTGGGGAACAAGACATGACAGAACAAGGGTTAAATAGAAAACAATATACTTACGGCTCCAATAGCCTGCACATCACACTTCTCCAGATCTGCTCTAAGAAGAGGCTGAACATCTGGTCCACATCACTCTTGGGAGAGCAATCAATCAGTGCCACTCCAGGTAGGGCTTACTTGGGTTTTTGGACATCTGTCATTTTGGTGTTTTCCCCAAATTCCTTCTTCAAGAACTCGTCCAGTGGCTCTGACTCGTAGGGCCGAGACCCCCGGAACACCATGTCCTTCATGCGGAAGTACAGGCAGCGCATGTAGTCCATGGACTTCCCTGAGACAGGCAACAGCGTCAGCAGGAGCACAGGGTAGAAGGAAGGGCAGGCAGAACAAACAGAGCATCAGAGCTTGAGCTTCCCGGGACCAGCAGGCAATGGGAGGTGTTATCCTAAGTCCCATCCCCTCCCCAGGCTGCCCCTCACATTCCTGGACTTCAGCAGAAATGGGGAAGATTAAACAAAAAGGCACGTTTGAAACTTAGTTTCCCACTACCAGGAAGTGCCAGTGACCCTGCTGTAAAGCCACCTTGGAGAGAGGGGGAAGAACAGAACATTGCACTCCTCCACCATGTGCATTCCTGAAATCCAGAAAGCTGCTCAAGACCAGCTAACATGAGAAGCAAGTACAAAAACAGGTCTCAGGCTTTCATTCACTAGTGAACGTCCCTTCCTTTCTTAGGCAGGGCAAGGAGCCTCAGTCTGCATTCTTGGGGCAGCTCCCAACCCACATCTTCTGCTCCCCACATGCAGAGGAAAACTTGGACCCACAGGAATGAGAAGGGACCCATTATTTGCACTGTCCTCACCGTGTACAATAGCCAGGGCCAAGATTCCCCCAGTGCTAGTCCCTGCAATCCAGTCAAAAATCTCACGAATGGGACGGCCTGCAGCCTTTTCAATAGCCAGGAGGAGCTGGATGAGCACCAGGCCCCGGATGCCTCCTCCATCCAGACACAGGAGGCGGTCTTGACTAGAGAGAGACAGACAAGGCTGACAGGGAACTGTGGCACAGCGTGCAAATCACAGTACACCACATGGGAACATGACCTATGGGGATGGGACACTAGACCAGTAACAAGAACGCTGCTGCGGACAATATGATCAGCTCATTAATAAACCCAGTGGTGCTTTCTCAGATACAAATAAGACGGTTTTGTCTCATCCTGACCAAGGCCAAATAAGCCACATCAGACCTGGTGCAACACTGTTTGCTCTTTTTAGCCATCTTTAACTTTCCCTTGCATTAGAGGAACATTCACAAGCTAGAAACGTGCGCAAGTCCCTTATTGCACAGTAATGAATATTGCCTTGTGAACAAAAAAAAAAAAAAAAAAGAGAGAGAACCCTAAATCCATGCTAGCAGCATGTCTGGCCTCTGACCACCTCAGTGCCAACCCTCCCTCTGTTCCATGCAAGGTGAGGTGCAGATACTGCCAAGGCAGCGCACGAGCTGCAAAGGAGCTGGACGAGCTTCAGGACAGCACAGGGAGATGGGGTATCACTAAGCCAAAACAGTGTTCGGCGACCAGTAGTGCAGGGGAGGGATGGAGCAGGGGTTTCACCTGCTGAATTTAGGCTTCACTGCAGTTCCAGAGCTGTGAGCAGGAGCAGGAGATGTTTGCTTACAGAAACAGAGCTTTACCACAACAGGGAGAAGGGGGGGGGGGGGGGGTATTTGGCCACAAAGGAGATGTTTGCTTACAGAAACTGAGCTTTACCACAACAGGGAGAAGGGGGGGGGGGGGGATTTCTGGCAAAAAAGGTAGCATTGAAGGGCACTAAATAATGCTAGCTCTGAGGATGCTGAGCCTTCTGGGAGGTGTGGGTGGGGAGGAATTCACATACATAGCTTTCACCTTCAAGCTGCACAGAAGTCCAGACAACAAGCTGTGTGACTTACTTTCTCCCACCCTCTCTAGGTGAGTCCACAACATCTGGCGTCTTCAACAACTGTCCAATTGCCGCAGAAGCATAGAGAAGGTCCTTGTACCCTAGAGGGCCATAAGCGTGCAGCAGGAAACATTAAAATAAATAAAAATTAAAAAAAATAAAGAGAGATGCAGGCATCTTTACAGCAGCTACAGAGAAAAGGGACCCAAAAGTGGTTTTCACTTTGTCTGCAGCAGCAGGACTGCAAAGAACAGAAGAGGGCCTCTTCCTGACCTCTCCTACTTTCTTTCCTATGTTCCAGATTCCCATCCCTGTCATAGGAGCCATCAGCAGTGGGAAAGCCCCCCCTAAGATGTGTCAAAACAGAGTCATTGCTACAAACACCAGACCTCAGCTGCTCTCCTTGGTAATCCATTCCACCACCAGGTAGACTGTGACATAATACTCCCCAGCTGCTGACATAAGAATCTGTTTTATCTTAGTGATACTGCTTTGCTACCTCAACCCTCTGACAAATGCCTCCAAGAGGTACTACTCCAAGTTATAATCAATTGGGAAATCCTCAATTATTTTTCTTACTTTCTCTCCTTTGCCCCCAGAAAGCTGGCTGCAGTACCTGAACTTCCCACCCCCTACAGTAAACAACTTCCACCATAATCACACAGAGAACATCCAACTCCCTTCGCCATCAAATAAGACTCCCTGCAGGAGACATGAGCTGTTTCACCTACAGCCACCAGATAGTTAATCCCTCAATTAAACCCCACACCAAAGAGAAGAAAACCCATCCTTGAGAGCAGACAGCTGGAGGTGCGCTAGCAAAGAGGAAGGATTTGTAGAAGCAGATGATGAACAAAATAGGTGAGAGAGAAGGCAGAGCCTAGCAGCATGCCCACTATGCAGTTTACTGCAAGCCATGAAATAAAACCTAAATCTACTCCTGCAAAGTAACCTAGGCAGGAGAGCTCCGGGAACAGGGTGGCTTGTCATTACCCCTCTGTTGATGTAAGCCCAGGCCACCCTGGGTACGGGGCACCAATCCGGCCTAGGTGAGAAGCCAGCCTGTGAAACCAAAAAGAAAAAAGAACAGGGGAAGAGAAGTCAAAATACCGCTGCCAGTGCCCAGGCCCAGAAGGTGGCCATGAGTAGTAGAGGAACATGGTGAGGAGTTTTTTCCAGGGTCCATGCTGAAGAGCGCATTACTCTTGTCAGTGCACCAGAGCTGAAATTAGCGGGGGGGACACCTTCACAGAGCCTCAGCCAGAGGACAGTCCCGGTGTCACCACGTCATAAAGACTTGTGGAGACACAGACACACTCCAGGGCCAAGAGGGACATTCTCTTCTAGCCCCGAGGGAGGGCCCTTTGCACCAGAGAGCACCAAGCTGAGAGAGAGAAACTGGACCAGAAGCAGCTGTTACCTCCTCATGTGTCCCATCTCAATTCACTCACCACCTACTCCATAACTGCTTACGCTGCCTCAGCCTGAGCTGCAGAGCTCCCTGGAGGAAGAAAGCCCGAACACCTAGTATAGACCCATGGGCTTATTCACACAGACTGGATGGGCAGTACAGAGTACAAGCTAGGAACACAACCTTATGTCCTGAGCTTGGCTCTTTCTATGCATAATGTAAACGCAGTGCTCAGGATCATTGCTCCTTAGGCTTCATCCCGTCCCTCTCCTAGCTGCTGATCTCCAAGATCTGAATGAGAGACACTTCTAATTTCTTGGTGCCAGCTGACATGACAATGGGATTGTCCTCAAGGAAGATCAGCAAGTACTTCCCCTTCTGTACATGACCCAGTGGACAAAGTGCATACAGGCAAATAAGGGCTACACTGCTTCCAATGGAGTGGGGGAATCACTTTTCCCTTTCCTCTTTACGCAGCTGCATTGTGTCAGGTCTGTAAAACAAGAGGAGAGTTTACAGAGCTCAGACAGGGGAAAAGCAGAGAGAAGAGCCTGGATCCTGCCACAGCTGAATGAGGACAGTCATAAGAAACTGAGAGCTAGGAGACAGCCCCCAGAGTGTAGGCAGTCTGGGGAAGAAATCTGAGAGAGGACTGTGAAGCAAGAAGGGAGGAGAGCAAGGGAGGGCCAGGGAAGGCGTTACCTAAGCTGTTGAAGCTGCTCCGCGGGGCAGGTTGCCCTTCCAGGAAGAAGGAGGCAGCAGATGGTGCCAGGCATGGGGAGTCAGGGTTGGGTGGGTGGCAGCGTTCGGTCCCTACAGTTTGCAGCAGGTCTAAGAGCACTTTCCGGTTTGCACCTTAGGTGATGAAGGGGGAGTCACAGAGATCAGAAAGAGAATCAGCATATGCACACATTGCGGGGAGGGAGGGAGGGTGTGCTGCCAGATCCACAGCAGCCCTGACCCTCACAAAACCTCTGGAATGACTTGGGGAAGGGGAAAAGTATGCCCTGGATATCCCTCCCCTATCCGCAGGCAGCAAGACTTGCGCACAGCAGGGGTACCCAGCGCTGTGCAGCCTCAGGGGCGTGTGCTACACACTTGCTGTAGAAGAACAGCCCATGCCTGCTTATGCTTGGGAGTTCAGCAGCACTGCATCATCCTGTTGTGAGCCTGCAGTGCCCAATACCACAGCACAGCTTGAAGAGGAGGAATGTGTGCCAGCCTTTCTTCTTGCATCTCTGCCTCACAGAGGAGAAATTCATCAAGGAATTAACACAAAGCCTATGCCTCTAGCTCAGGAAGTGCCTACCCTACAAGCGACTGGAAGCTGGAAGAGCATCTTGGAGAAACACTGCCCACGCTTGCCTGTTTTCACTCTCCCAAGACACTGTTCTGGCCAACAAGGGAGACAGGACGCAAGGCTCACTCTGTAGGGCTGCTGATATGCTCTCTCACCTTTGCTGCTCCTGGCTGCCAACAGCCCTGGAGTCTCGCCAAAGTCATTTGGGATCTCAACATCCCCTCCAAACACAACGAGGGCTTTGATCATGTCCAGATGGTCATGCTGGGGGACAAGAGAAAGCTCAGTCAAAGGCCATGCTCCCCTCAGCTATACTGTTCCATCCCTCCTCTTTTCATTAGCTAAAGCACTCACAGGGGATCATCCCATGAAACACATCCCCCCCCTTAACAGCCAGGACTTCAAAGAAGTCTGCCCTTCAGTAAAAAACCCTCTCCTCCCCAGCAGCCTCTGCAAAACACTCACTTTCATGGCCAGATGTAGTGGAGTGTTGCCATCCTGACCTTTGGCATTGGTGCGGGCCCCATTTGTGAGCAGTACCATGGCACAGTCAAAGCGGCCCCTCTTGACTGCAATGTGCAGAGCCATGTCAGCTGTCCGGCTGGTCAAATTCACATTAGAGCCATACTCGAGCAGCAGCTGCGTCATCTGTGCCCAGGCATGAACACGCCAGGTTGAGAAGGGAAACAGCAATCATGAGGACAATCGCCTGGAAGCTCAAACAATCGAGGATCTCAGGGGCAAGCAAAGCAGGTGAAGAGGAGCAAACCTCAGCCTGGACACAACTGATGGCAGGAGCCAGCTGCATCATGCCAGACACTGGAGACAGGGTTTCCTCTGTCATTTAGCAGAGAACTACCTGTTAGTTTTTGCAAGCTGCCTGAAGCTTCTGGATATTTTGGATCTTATATGCAAGTATAACAATCAGCAGAGCTCAAGGTGGGCGGGGAGGAGCAGCAAACCATCCCTACCTGGGCCAAAATCCTTGCAGATTGGAGAGAAACGTTTGCTTTTTGATCTTGTCCTCTTTATAGGCCAAGCAGACTTATGCCTGCTCAGTCCCTCTACCAGAGGCTTCTGTGAAGGATTTGATACTGCAGGAGGGAAATGGTCCTTCCATAGGAACGTTCTCTGCTTGAAAGGAGTACCATGCCAGTGCTCCAGCACAGCATATCACATCACTCCTCAGGCCACCTCTGGCAAAAGACGCACAATAACCCACGTGCCACCACTCCGACTACCTCACACTTGCCAAGACATCAGTCTGCAGTAGCCTGCCTTGAAATCAGCAGGTAGCGACCCCAGAAGTAACTATGGTCTAGCAACAGCGCTACAATTACCCCAGCAAGGAGAAAAAAGGGACAAGCTGACAGTTTTATAGCCAAGGAAAAAGTACTAGGATGAGCCAGCCAGTTCATTTCACTGTAAGGTTCCACCACTGCATCCCCCACAGCAAACGGCACTGATTCAGCAAGGAGAGTCAAATACAGTTTCAATCACCTCCACGGCAGGGCTGCCTTTTGGGCAGTTTGCTGGAATTTGGCACTCTGCACACACATGCAGGAAAGGAACAGGCCAGCGGCGGAAAGAATTAACCAGCTGCCAAGGTGCTGGATGGCAACACAGGCTCTTGCCGTGGAGTTGGCTCTGTTTACCTCTGCCTTCTTTGCCCAGTGCAGCGGAACAGCTTCATACCGCGGGTCCTTGGAGTGAACCTGGCTGGCATCTGCCTCAAGGATGGCCTGGGCACACCTGGCAAAGAGAATGAGATGAAGAGATCGGTGGCAGTCATCTCAATTCAAGACCTCTGTTCACATCAGCACCTGCCTCCCATCCAGAGCATTTCAGATAACCCTTCAGCAGCAGCGGACTACTCTGCGACACTAAGGTCCTCAGCAGCAAAGCAGTCACGTTTTACTCTCTTCAAAAAGGAAGAGAGCGACAGGAAGCATTCAAGCAGCACAGCATGTAGAGAAAACAGAAGAATCCCTTCCTAGTTCCGAGTTGTGGGGGAACATCTGAGTATTTCTCCCATGCAGGTCTGTGGTGTTTCTGGAAGTTCTGAAGGCCTGGGAGGAAATTCTCCTCTCCGCTCCCCTGAAAACTTGTGGAGAAAACTACAATACTTAAATACTTGCTCAAATTAAAAGTCTGTGTATTTCCCTAAGAGGGAGAAATCACACATATGGTGACAGACTAGTGTCTAGCGCCTAGAAAGCATGGCTAGGTAGACTTAAGGAACAAGTACCCACTCACAAAATAAATCACGTATCAAAGATCAAGCCCCACTGCAAAATAAGGGCCTTGAGCCTATTTTTGGCTTGTGACTGTATCTCTGTTGTAGGAAAGCACTTTTTAAAATGCTGAAATAATAGCTAGCAGCAGTTATTGCTGACTTGCAAACAAGACAAGGGCAACATCTGCAGGGCTGAAACTCTATATGAAAATAAGGGCTATAAAGCGCATCCAAAGAGACTCTAATTTCTCCAGGAAAAAAGCATGCAGGATGTGAACAACATATGTCTTTTGATTCAGTTCCAGAGTGTATTTTTAAGGGTCAGCAGTAACTCTGGCCCACAAGAGAGAAGAATAATCATAGGCTTTGGAATGAAAGCTTACCAAAGACTTCCGAAAGACTGACGTAGAGCAGTACCAATATCGTTTAAGCATTGCTAAACCATCCCCTCACAGCTCATCTTGCAAAAAGTTTTTCCAAAAACATTATTTTTAGTTTTCCCCCAAGTTTATATATTTTTTAATATCAGACCAAAAAAAAAAAAAAAAGACCAAAAAAAATAGAAGACTGCATGGAAAAAAAACTTTCTTCTGAAAGGGTGTCTTTTTCTCCCATACCAGCATATCTCTATTCTTCCGCCAGTCCAGTGATGCAGCAAAGGACAGCACAGGACACCAGCCTACTAAGCACTGCCCCAGAAGGAGCCCATCCTTGAGCAGGATGCAACCCAGAGTAGGCAGGCAGGTCCCCGGAGAAGCGGAAAAGCACTGTTCTAGCAGGCCCAGAGGTTACTTACCCCTTCTGGGAGTACTTCAGAGCTGCATGAATGGGGTAGCCCAGTGTCCCCATGACGCTGCAGCTGGCACGGCATTTCAGCAGAGAGCGAACCACATCCTCTTTGCCCAGCTGGCAAGCGAGATGCAGAGGGGTCAGCCCTTCGTGGCTCAGGTGGTCCAAGCCAACAGTTGGGGTTTTTCCCAGGAGCTGAGAAAAAGAAAGAGGGGTGGGGGAGGGGAAAAATCACCCATCCACCCACCAAAATAAAGACACCGAAGGCACCGTCTCTCTTCCTGAACTCTGAGGACGGACTCTGGAACGCTGGGCTCCTGACAACACCACAGCCTGTCCTCTTTACTCCTACTTCCAACATGATAATTACTAAAGCGCTCCTTGTTTTCTCTTCTGAAAGGTTGATTGCTGCACTTTGCGCTCTCTTCCTCTGGCCCGTGTGCTTTCCAAACACCCCTCAGCCAGAAAGGGCTCGCTCGACCCAGAACTGCGTTACCACAGCCCAGCAAACTCCCACCCACCAGCTGCAAAACAGTCCCGCTGCAGGAGCCAAGGTGGCCAAACTGAATGCGAGCACTAACTGAAAGCAGAAGCTTCCTCTGCTGCTGTAGCTCCATCAATTACCATGACCAGTCAGCAGCAGGAGCTTAGCCTCTCATGCAATCCCATCATTGCTTGCAGCCCCAAACACGAGTCTGTTTAAAATATACACGTGGAGAGATGCGTGAAGGAATTTTCTTCCCCTCCCTGTACATTTCAGGCTTGTTACCGGCTCACTGGTTTGTTACACAAAAATACCCCGCAGCCATACTGAAGAAACTCTTGAGGCCCTGCTGTACACAAGAGAAGCAGGAATTTAGAGTTTTTCTCTGGTTTAGCGAAGAATTGAGAGAGCGCGCAACAGGCAAGAGACTCATCCGAACGAAAAGCATCTCTGAACAAACAAGCCAAGTTGCTGTCAAAGTGAAATACAGGAAGAGGATATCTTGTTAATACAAAGGTCCTAATTGTCCTACTCTATAGCATGGCAAGCCCCGATCATCAACCCTCCCCAATCACACATTAGGAAACCCCATCACAGTCTGGTAGGCAGAGGGAGAGCTGTCACAACACGTATTGGGCAAACGCGGGGGATGCGGGTGTAGGCAATAGCTTGTCTCGCATTCAGCGCTCAGGAACTGACAGAGGCGAGGAACCAACATGAAAGGCCACCCACACCCTTGTGAACCCTGTCACTCTGCCCAACACCTCACAGCAATCGAGAAAGCCTCTGGCTTCAGACTGTCTCTGCCTCAAGGCTCTGTAGGCTGTCCCCAGCGCAAGGCCATTCAGTTCAATCAACAAGTTCTGCAGGATCAGGAGAGCTAAGAAAGGCTCCAAACTAGCTGGCAGGCAATATCTGCTACCCTACGGGGGCCAAAAGGTCCCTTTTGAGGCACTTGACCCAGAGCTGAAAGCCCTGTTAGGAGGGCACAGAGAGGGGACAGCCAAGGGCCTGAGGAAAGGTATGACTAAGACCTGAGGCTAATGCCAAATAAAGGACACTTTCTGAAGAACCTATTGCTTTATATCCTCGTCCTATTGCAGGCTGGAATTTGGGGTCCACTCATGGGGAGCTGCAGCAAGAAAGGGGGCAGAAAAGAGCTGAAGCCAGCCTCAAGCACTCACATGATGCTGCAGCAGAGTGAACCAGTTTAGCTTTCTTCTCCCCAGTGTGCAGCCCTAAGCTATTTTCCTCTCTCTCCCCTCACAGCATAGAGGGGACCCATTTCACTCCCACTCCTCTCAGTTTTGAAATCACTCCCACCTCGATGATCTGGGGGCTGCTCCCTCGCACAGCGTAGTGGAAAACCGTCTCCCCGTTCCTGTCGGTAATGTCCACCCGTGCATGGCACTCCAGTAGCTCCTGCAGGCAAGCTATGTCCCCCTTGCGGCATGCCAGGTGCAGCGGGGTGCAGCCCTCTTCGCTGTCTGTGTTGTTCACACAGCTGCAAGAGGAGAGGAGTCAATGTGACACCAAGGAAGGGCTGCAAAGATGAGGACATGCAGCCCCCTTGGTGGCCACTTCAAAAGGAACCTTCAACATCTGCAATGGGCCCAAATGGTACAAATCACTGAGGTTCACAAAAGCCTACTCCTTTGCCAGGGAAGGAGCACAGGGAAGCGCTACCAAGTAGCCCCAGCCTTGCTGCAAGCTCTCTTCCTGCCACTCAGCCCCCTGTCCTGCCCAGCAGGGAGACACCAGGCAGCTCCCACTGCCCTTACGAAATGGGAACACAAGATTACAGTCAGCAACTGTGACACATCTTTCAGTCCACTAACTCCTCACAGATCTGCCCTTTCCTACATGGATTTCCCCATGGAAAGAGAAGGCAGGCTTGTACCCTTCTTGTGCACTTCCAGAAAGACAGTCCTAACCTACCTGCTCTCTTATGGGTTACAGTGCCACAACACCCTCTGAAGAGCAGCTCCACGAGGGCTGTAAGAGTTTTGTTAGTGCTTCCAGCAAAGCAGTTCACCCTTTTAGCTCAAACACCAGCAGTCTGGGCTTTAATGTCAATAGGTCCAAAGACTGCAAATAAACTTACAGAGAGACCAACAGACACCCTTCGCTATCATATCTGTTATTCACACAAGACAGATACCAAGGTCAGCAGCTGCAAACTCAACCACCGCAGTAACTGCAGGTGTCAAGCTTCTCCACGCAGCAGCTCACTTTGTTTTGGTACAGCAAGCTGAGATACCCAAGTCTTGCCTAGCCTTGCCTCCTGAGCTTGATCCCAGCACTAGGCCCACAGGAGATCCCTCCCTGCCTCTTGCCTCAGAACATGGTTGTGCCGGAAGCTCTCGCGATGACCAATCTCCACCGCAACGTGTGCTGAGGACCAGCTGGGGTGGTTGCGGAAGCAGTCACTGAGCTGCTGGAGAACCTCCAAAGACAAGGGCTGATGAGAGCTCTCGTAGAAAGGACGCAGCTGCCTGGCATACTGTTCAAAACACACAATGGCATCTGTTTCGTTGTCAAGCTGGAAGAGCCTAGGGGAAAGGCAAGAGGAAAGAAAGGCAAAGGCAAATGCAGTGTAAGTCCTGCTCAAAGAGAGACACAGTTCTCCAAACATTAGTGCTGGAGGCTTTTCCTCTTCCTCCTTGTCATGTGGCAGATTCGTTCCAAGGGAAGGAGAGAGCCTGCTACGGAAGCACAGCAGCCTTATTCTTCCTGAGGAATGTTAACTTTTGTGCTCAAGTATCCTGTGCTCCTGATCCCAAAATAGCAAAGCATATGAGTAAAAGTGCATGTGTTTGTGGACATTCAGCGCTTATTATGTGGTTGCCTGTTCTCCGCAGCATTTGAACTCAGTCAGGCGATACCTTCCATGCTGCAGGCTGTTTTGACAGCTCTTTCAACAGCACACACAAGGACCTCCCATTCCCCATGAGCCCACTGCTGGTCAAACACTTCACCCCACACCCACAGACCCGAAGAACCACGGTCCTGAGATTGGAACATTTCACATCTTTAATTTCCCACTTGAGCATCAATCAGAAAAGGATGGCCTGTCACTTACCGGAAAGCAACCTGTGGGCTCTGGGGATTCACCAGCAGGCAATCCCAGGAGCGCGCAAAACCATTCTTATACAGGGTCACCCTGCCTTCTTCCCTCAAGCAGGTATGAGTAGCATATTCCCCAACAGTCACCTCCTTTACCCGGTAAGGGTTTGTAAATATTTGGGTGACGCTGTTGATGGTGTTCACAAGCCGGCCAAGAAACTGCATCTTTCTGGAGAGTCAGTCCTGAGGGAAATCCAATTGCAAACTTAGCCTGAGCCAGACTGCCCCTTCCTTGAACTTAATAACCCAGTGCAAGGAAAGGAGAACTGAAAGAACAAATAACCACCAGAAGGAAAATCCAGCATGAATAGGAGCTTTTGTTTATTAGCTCTTCCTGGAAGGGCGCACGAGGTTCTCCTCTGCGCCCCACAACTATGCCTCATCCTTAACCTCCTACTTACAGGCTTACACAGCAACCTCGGCCGGCGACGGAAATCCCCCTCCAGAGCCGGCCAG